TGGGGTTTGAAGAAGAACCACGGCTGCTGCTGAGGATGAATTGGAAGGAGGCGGTGAAAGCAGAGAGACTAGGTAGGAAGCTGCAGGGCCCATCACGGGAGGGGGAGGGGAAGCAGGCAGACCAGGCGTAAAGGGGTGGGCCTCGAGCCTGTACTTTCGCAACGTCTTCAAATAGAGTTCTACGGGCCACGCGTGGAGTGAATTACGAATAAATATTTCTACCTAAATCCTGTAATCAGCCTGTGGATAGCATTCTGTATTACAGTTTTTGTAGCGCTGTGTCTGAGTTTGGGTTCTCCTAGACCTTGAGACTAGGATTCAATGCAAGGAGCTTGTCTGGGAGGTGCCGGAAGTGCAGGAGAGGTGGGGGAAGTCACACAGGAAAGCAGCCAGTAAAGGTGTGTTAAGGAACCTCCGTGGGTGACAGCTTAATCCCTGTGGAAACTCTGGGAACGCACCTCAGCTTGTCTACCCAGGAGCAGGGGAGCTGGGCTATTTTTACACCAACTCTCTCCCCCTGGCCACTGTGAGGGCTGCTGGGCAGGGGTTAATTCTCCTAAATTTCTGTCTTTCCATAGGGATGGGTGGTCCGGCCTTCCCCAGTTCTGAAAGGCCTCAACACAGAGATGCAGGTAAGGGCAGTTGGGAATCTCCGGAATCCAAAGAAGTAGCAGGGCCTGAGGGACACAGAGACATGGGACAGAATTGTGTGGACTTTGTGTTGGGTTTTCTTTCCCTTTTAAAATAGACCTCACATCATGGAAGTGACCTAAGCCTTTTTGATCACCAAGAGGCCCTAAGAAGCTGTGAAAATTCCAGGGGAGAAATGACGGTGGCCTGGGCTGAGGTGGTGGCAGTGGAGGTGGAGAGAAGACCGTGTATCCTTTGGGTGCTGGTCGGCTGGGATGGTGGGGAGGGCGCCGTGAGGCATAGGTTTGAGGAGAGAAAGCAAGAGTTTGGTCTTGTGTTTGGTAAGTCTGGGCTGAGTAAGAGCTATCTGAGTGGGGATATTGGCAGGCTGGATGGGAGACACAGATCTAAGAAGGGGATAGGTAGCCGAGGGTATGGGGAGGGAGGGATGACTGGGGGGCACAGAGGATTTTTAGGGCAGTGAACTATTCTGTATGATGCTATAGTAGTGGATACACGTCACCATATTTGTCCAGACTTGTAGGATGTACAACACCAGAGTGAACCCTAATGTAAACTAAGGGTGACAATGACATTATCAGTGTAGGTTCATGGACTATAACAAATGCATCACCGTGGTGTGGGATGTAGATATGGGAGAGGCCGTGCAGGAGCGGGGACAGGGAGGAAACGGGAAGTCTCCTGTACTTTCACTAAATTTTGCTGTGAACCTGCAACTGCTCTAAAAAATATGATCTACTGAATAAAGAGCCGGGGGAGAGGGAATAGGCAATAAAGACAGGAGGGGAAAGGCTCAGAAGGAAGCCGAGGTGTGTCGGGGTGGCAGGAAGGGAACTGCCCTGTGAGTGAACATGAGGTGACCAGGGGCCTACAGTGGGCAGGCCCTCCCAACCCAGCCTCACAAGAAGCTTCACAAGAAGCCTGTGAGGTGAGTGTTCCTGCATGGAGACTCTCAGACTTGGGAAGGTGAAACAATCTGTGGGTCCGTGGGGTTTTTTTTTTTTTTTTTTGGCTACATCATGTGGCTTGCAGGATCTTAGTTCCCCGACCAGGGATCGAACCCACAGAGTCCTAACCACTGGATCGCCAGGGAATTTCCCCATGGGGTTTTTTTCTTTTTTAGTACACGGGCCTCTCACTGTTGTGGCCTCTCCCGTTGTGGAGCACAGGCTCCGGACACACAGGCTCAGCGGCCATGGCTCACGGGCCCAGCCACTCCGCGGCATGTGGGATCTTCCCAGACCGGGGCACGAACCCGTGTCCCCTGCATCGGCAGGCGGACTCTCAACCACTGCGCCACCAGGGAAGCCCTCCCCATGGGGTTTTGAACTGAGGACAAGTCGACTCCACCCGCTACTCCGCTGCCTGCCCTTGAGGAGCTCACCGTGGAGCAGCACGAGGCCATGCAGTGGGAATCCGGGGGATAATGTTCTCAGGAGAGGCCTTTGCTAGCAGACATGGCTCAGTGTTGAGACTGCATCTTCCCTGAACCCAGGGGCCCTCGTCAATGGGAAAAGAAGAGGAAAAAAATGAATGCTTTTTGCCGTGGAAAGAGGAAGAACTCAGCAAAACCCAGAGTAATGTTTGTCATCTCTAATTGTAGCCCTACTTACCAGAATATTAACTTGTGGTTCCAGGGAGGTATTTTCCTAATCATCATAAAAAGTAGCATATATCTTTTCATTTGCCTTTCCCTCGACTAGGTCCAAAAATTCTTCTCCCAAACTCAAAAGCAAGAATTTCAGTTATTTTCTACCCTGTTGGTAATGAGGACAAGTTCAGTTTGTCTTTTTTCTTCAGGGGAACAATCTGTGTCCTTGTTGTGACAGCTAGAGAAAACTGAATAAAGAGATGTCTTTTCCAGAATGAATGTGGAAAGAACGTTTTGACCACCATGGCAGCCACTGCTTATTCATTGATTTGACAAATTTTTCTGAGCAGTTGCTATGACCCAGGCACTAGCCTAGCCATGGGGACCACAGAGCTGAGCAAGACATGAGCTCTACCCTCATGAAGTTCACTGTATGGTTAAGATCTAGAGAAGACTATAGAAAATTCCAATGTGATGTGGCAAGAGCAATGAGAATGAGAAAAACGTGAGAAATGAGAATGAGAAAAGCTTTCTAGGTACCTGCAAGGTTTCTCTAACCCAGACCCATGGGGGAGGTAGTCCGGGAAGGCTTAGCAGAACAGTGCTCAAATACCAATACTAATTAAGATGATCTGTTCTTGGAATGAACAAGTGGAGGACTCTGCTTATCCTCCCAGGGGAAGTCCTTGGCTGTAGCCTGAGATTTAGCTGAAGACCACTCACTTTGCAATTCTGAACAGGCTTGAAAGGCTCTGGTATGAAATTCCTTCTGGGCCTCTGGGCCTGAGATTCTAGGTTATTTCATTCCTTTTAGGACAAGGGAGATAAGCTTTAGACAGATATCAGCAGACCAACGTGTCCAATGAAGAGTTCTCAGTTCTAATTGTCCCCTTGCCAACGGATCCCTGTGTGACTTGAGGCAAGCTGTAGAACCACATGCAATTGCTTCAGCTTTCTGTTTAGAAAAGAAGCGATAAGCAGTGAAACGTCCTCTCCAGTGGCCAAAAGATCTGGGAATTGGGCTGCTGTCTTGGGCCTGTAAGTAGATAAGGTGGGGGGTCCTTGGAGAAAGAGAACCAGGCATGGCTTTCTTGACCTAACAGAAGCCATTTTTGGCCTAAGCTATTTTGTGATCTAAGCCTGGCCACAGGACTTGCCCTTGAACAGGTCTCAGTAATTAATGATCTAAAGGGAACAGAAGAATGCAGAAACAAATTACTTTATCAGGCAAGAGAAGAAACTATAGCAAAGATAATACATCAGTTGTAAAGACTTCCAGGTCTGTTTCAATGTTTAAGATTGGCCTGAAGCGTTCAACCACCAGATCGACTGGAACTTAAAGCTTGGACTTGGGGACTTCCCTGGTGGCACAGTGGTTAAGAATCCACCTGCCAATGCAGGAGACACAGGTTTGATCCTTGGTCTGGGAAGATCCCACATGCCGTGGAGCAACTAAGCCCATGTGCCTCAACTACTGAGCCTGCACTCTAGAGCCCACGAGCCACAACTACTGAGCCCGTGTGCCACAACTACTGAAGCCCACATGCTTAGAGCCCACGCTCCGCAATAAGAGAAGCCACTGCAATGAGAAGCCTGTGCACCGCGATGAAGAGTAGCCCCTGCTTGCCTCAACTAAAGAAAAGCCCGCATGCAGCAACGAAGACCCAACACAGCCAAAAATAAATATAAAAAATAAATAAATTAAATAAATTTAAAAAAAAACTTGGACTCTTTCTACCACCCAAGCCCCTTCATGAATATGCATGTACCCTTAGCTTAAAACTTCCCCAGTTTTCCTGTTTGAGGAGATACTGCTTTGGGAAAGATCCCTGGTGTTCTCCTTACTTGCTGCAAGTAATAAATCCTTCCTCCTCCGGATTTTGCCTGGGTTGTGTCTTTTGGCTCCACACCCAACAAGAGGCGAACCTGGTTTTTCAGGTAACAGGCCTGGTGTTTGAAGAATACTCACTTAGAATCTACATTTTGTCACACTTACTGTAGGGCCACTGTATGATTTTTATCATGTTTGATGAATTTGCTTCAAAGTACCCTGCTCACCACTGAGAACTTGGCTTTACTAATCAACAGAAAACAAATTTTAGATATGTCCTAATTCTCCCAATTCTGGCAAAAGAAGCCAAAATGGAAGCCCATGCATCATCCTAAAGGTTTTGAGGACAACACAAACCTTGATGTGCCTGACCCACTCATCTTATTAACGGACTAAAATTGCATTAATAATTTTTTTTTTTTTTTTTGGCCACGCCATGCAGCATGCTACATGTTAGTTCTCCGACCAGGGATCACAACCTGCGCCCCTTGCATTGGGAGATCAGAGTCTTAACCACTGGACCGCCAGGGAAGTCCCTGCATTAATAATTAATTCCATTTCATCTAGAAGCCACAAGGCTACACCTCTGGCTGAAATAGGAAAGGGATTCTTTTACAGAAACAGTAATCCACAGGTTCACAAAAAGTAGCAAATATGGAAATATCTATCTTCCCACCTGGATTAGACCTTTTTAGGTTGGGGCGACAAATAGAAATAAAGTGTCGCTTTCCCAAGCATGCAGCTACTTAGAAGCTTTAACAGGAATTAGCCCCGTATGAATTGGGTCAAGGGACCCGACCACAGGGACGTTTACACGCGGAGGATCCCCAGAAGGCGAGGAGAATGCAGCTTTTCCCCGCCGCGTCTCCGGCCGGGCCCCGCCCCCGCCTACCTAGACCCCGCCCCTGTCCCCGCCCTCCCTGTAGACCCCGCCTCCTCTGCTTCTCCGTCTGCCCCGTGGGTGCCGTGCACCCTGAAGATGGCGGCCGTGGCGGGAAGGTTGCTCCGGACTTCGGTGAGTGGCTGGCGGCGGGGCACAGGCGCGGAGACACTGTGGTGGCTCCGAGAACGTGCTTCCCAGATGGGATCCCGCTCCCCTGCGGCCTTGGGGTCTTTCACCCTTCTTGGAGTATATCGGAGGGTAACGGACCAGAGGCCTCCTCCTCTACGGAAGGCTCCCTGCGCCTGCGCAGAGCCGCCCTTCCCCCCACCCACCCTTCTTGTGGTCCCCTGCCCAAATCCCTTTCGCTCCAGGTCGTGGGTCCCCGGTCCCCTCTCTACCTAAGCAGCTGGCTCTCGATGCAGGCGACCTGGCCCCTGGTCCCGGTTCTGTAACCGACTCTGTGACCTTGGACAAGTGACTTCTCCTTTCCGAACCTCAGTTAACTTTCCTCACCTTAACAAAGAAAGAATGATGTTTCCGTGAGCAGCCACTTAAATGCTGGATGAAAACCAAAATGCCAAAGTAACCAAAATGCTTACGTGCAAAAGGCGCTTTTCTCCTCCCCACCCAGGGCGGTCCTAGGGCCGTTTTCTCCAGGCAAAGCCTAGTACCCTCTTGCTACCCGCCCTCCCTTTCTCGTGGTGGGGTTCAGCGCAGCCTCTTTCTTCTTCCTGAGTCATGCTGGACCCTGAAATTGAGCAAACGTTTCCCTTGAGCCCTGTCCAAACTTTCCCGGAGGCTGAACTTTGCTCTGCTTGTTTGCTTCTCTGTGGAGCTGGAAGGCCCTTGTCTTTTCTAGGGAAAACCTTGACCATAGTAGAACATGCTCAGCAGATCTGCTGGTAAAGGGCTTAATACACAGGGCCTGGCCAAGTTTCCCGGCTTCTGAATCCTCTGGGTTGCTCTCAAAAGCATGGAGTCTTTATGTTCTTATAATTCTCTGCCTTGCAGTCTTTTTTTTCCATTCATTAATTTATATATATTTTTAAATAAAAATTATATACTTGAGGTGTGCATCATGATTTGATATACGTAATGAAATGATTACTGCAGCCAAACCAATTGACATATCCCTTCACATAGTTACTTCTCTGTGTGTGATGAGTATACCTGAAATCTACTCTTAACATATTGCCAGCTTCAATACAGTATTATTAAGTATAGTCAGTATGCTTGTACTTTAGATCTCAAGACTTATCCTACATAACTGCAACTTTGTACCCTTTGACCAACATCTCCCTTTCCTCCTCCCCAACCCCCTTTACAATCTTGAAGGATAAGGAAGCAGAAGGGAATTTTAAGAACATGGAGACTCAATCCATGCTCTTAGAGTTTGGAGTTTGGTATTTTTGTTCGCAGGAATAAGGACAGCCGAGGCCACTACTGGCCTGATGCCCTCTCAGCTGGGATTCAGCCACCATTCTGGGAATACTTCCTAATTTAAAGTGTTTCTCTTTTTAGCTTGTCCGACAAGTGAGTGCCATTCCTTGGGGCATTTCTGCCTCTGCAGCCCTTAGGCCTGCTGCTTCTCGAAGAACGTGCTTGACAAATGCACTGTGGTCTGGCTCTGCTCAAGCAAAATTCGCCTTTAGCACCAGTAAGTGTTGTTATGCTTTGGTTTGAACCAGAAAATGGCAACATGTGTCATCTCTGTACAGGGGCTCTGAACCCTGGCAGTGTATTAGACTCCCCTGGGGAGCTTTTGCAAACATACCACTGCCCCAGTCCCACCCCAAACAAAATGAGTCAGTCTCTGGGGTGAGACCAGAACATCAGTATTTTTCAAAAGCTCACCAAGTGATTTTGGTGTGCAGCCAAGGGCTGAGAATCACTGAGGCAATCTGCCCTTGTGTCGCATTTCCTTGTTGGTTCCAGAGGTTTTAATCCCGTGTTGGGGAACTTGAAGTGGGGTGAGAACACTCAGAGGCCTCTGGGCCTGCTGTGTGTGAAGGGGTGTGAGCTGACTGGGGACTGACAGTGCAGCTCCTCTAAAGGCATTTGGATTCAAACTTGTGGGCGGGCTCCACTTGGCCATGTTAGGCCAGTCGAATGGACTGCTCCGTGATCTGAGTGACACACAGCTATTTCTTGAGATTTACACTCCATTATCTAGAATCTGAGGTTTGCTAAGTACAGCCTCAGATATCTGGAAATGCCTCCTTTAGATCTGTCGCACCTTTTAAAAAGAGTGTATTTAACATGTAATGGTTTCGGGGGATATACTTTAGCAAACCCTCTGTGGGTGAAATGTTCTGAAAAATTTTACAATTTTACTTCCCCAGAGCTTTAAGAAATTTCTGGTAGCGATTTGATGCCACAGGTTTAAACCTTTCCTTGTCACCTGTCCCAAACCCCCCTCCCAACAGCTCCTCCTGTTTCTGAAGCAGGCATCTTGACCCTTGGCCTCCTTTGTCCCGCCTTCCCAGGTAGAAGCGTGTCCTCTCCAATTCTGACACAGCTCTTAAATCCTTTCCTTTCTTTCTGTTCCTTCTGCCGTACCCTTTCCCTCCACACCTCTCACTTAGATGCCTGCAGTCACCTCCTAACATCAGGCTCCCCCCTCCCTGTTCCTCTTACTGTCCCCTGCAGACTGATCTTCCTGAGAACAGCCAACGCATCATCTTTTAAGAACAGATTCATCGGCCTGATATATAAGGGCCCTTGCAGCATGGCCTTCACCAGCCTTGCTTTGTCTCCCACACGTCTTCCCTCCATGCACACCTGCTCTCTATATCAAGCTCTGCCACGGGCTGTTCCCCACACCTGCCCTGTTCTTTTGTGCCATCAGCCCTGGTCTTGGCAAAATCCGAACCATACTTAGAATCCACCTCGAGGGTCATGTTGTCCTTAATTCTATGTTCATTCCATCCCTACTATCTCCTGTCATTTTAGTTTCCACAGCACTTTGAATTTGTGTACAGTCTAGAACTATGAAAAGAGAAAAAATTACCTAAGATGTACAATTGAACTGAACTTTTAATTACACTATTAATTAATTACTGTGAGAGGATTAAATAAAACCAAATAAGTGCTTGGCTTAACCATGAACTATATACGTGTGTGCTATGTTTTGTTTTCAGGTTCCTCATGCCATGCCCCTGCCGTCACCCAGCATGCGCCCGATTTTAAGGGTACAGCTGTTGTCAATGGAGAGTTCAAAGAAATAAGCCTTGATGACTTTAAGGGGAAATATTTAGTGCTCTTCTTCTATCCTTTGGATTTGTAAGTGTATTTTCTGTGATGCTTTAATGTCATCCTGAGAGCAAGCAGAGATCCCCGCCCCGCTGCTGACATTGCCTGTCTCTAGTTACTCTTGTCAAGGGGAAGGTTGCTGCTGACCCTTTGTCACTGATGGTCTTGTTGATACAGTTTCCATCTGTAGCTAATTTACAAGTGATAAATATAGGGGGTGAAGTGGCATTCCTCTTAATGGGGCAGGGGTTTAATGTACGGACTCTGGAGTAGTGGTTCCTGTAAGCCAGTCTGTGAGGAAGTTTTCACTGGTTCGGGGGGAAAATGAGAAAAGTAAGGATAAAATGAATTTTCTCATGAAGCTACTTTATTTAGATAAAATTTTGTCTTCTTGGAATATGCCTCCCCTACCCCCATTTTTTTTAATATGATTCTTAAATAGAAAGGTGATAAATCTTTTTTTTTAAATTGGAGTATCATTGTGACCAGGAGTCCAGTGAGGATGGTTAACCATTTTGCCTTTCTCACCTTTAAGCAAACTGAACTAGTTTTTTTTAAATTAATCATTTATTTATTTTATTTTTGGCTGCGTTGGATCTTCATTGCTGCGCGCGGGCTTTCTCTGGTTGCGGCGAGTGGGCTCCTCACTGCGGTGGCTTCTCTTGTTGTGGAGCACGGGCTTTAGGCTCGCGGGCTTCAGCAGTTGCAGCACGCAGACTCAGTAGTTGTGGCTCATGGGCTCTAGAGCACAGGCTCAGTAGTTGTGGCACATGGGCTTAGTTGCTCTGTGGCATGTGGGATCTTCCTGGCCCAGGGCTCGAACCCGTGTCCCCTGTATTGGCAGGCGGATTCTTAACCACTGTGCCACCAGGGAAGTCCCTGAACTAGTTTTTAGACACCTATTGTTCAGATTTTAAAGCCTTGTTTTTCAATTCTCTGATGAAAATTTCTACCCTTTTTTCCTAGCACCTTTGTGTGTCCTACAGAAATTATTGCTTTCAGTGACAAAGCCAATGAATTTCACGATGTGAACTGTGAAGTCGTTGCAGTGTCAGTGGATTCCCACTTCACCCACCTGGCCTGGATAAACACACCAAGGAAGGTATAAACATCATTCACGCTGTGTCTGCACTTGTGATCTTAAAAACTCAAATGATCCCATTAAAGACCAACGTAGAAGCTGTTAAAGCACGACTAGCCTGAAATGGGCTATTTGTCAGGCCTAACCTACTGGCAAATTCTGTTAAACTCTACCCACCCATATCTCCTTTAACATTGCATGTACTTACTCCCCACTACACTTGTATTTTCCAGAGTACAAACAGTAACAGAGAACAGACTCTGCAGGGCAGGGGAACAGTTGGGGTTCATTGCCTCCCCTCTCACGTGTACCCTGTAGGTCCCCGGGACCCTGCGAGCCATGTGGGACAGTGATTAAGTTTTCTGATTTCACTGCTGTCCACGGTCAGTATTCTTGCCTAGAAACTTGCTTGGGAGAATCAAAATTTCTAGCTATGCTGCCGGACTATCAATCAAATTATTCAAAGTATTCTTTTTTTTTTTTTAAACTGTTCCATTTTTATGCTTCAGAAATTAATCTTCAACCAAAAGGATACTGTAAGAATTAGAAAAAGAAAGGTCTGTAGTATCAGCTGGGTTTAAATCCTGCCTCTGCCCCTTTCTAGCTGTGACCTGGAGCAAGTTACTTAACCTTTGTGTGTCTCAGTTTCCTCATCTGTACAGTGGTGGTGATGATAGTAGCTACTCCAGGATGCTTAGAGGAGGAAGTGAGACAACAGAAAAAGCTTAGAGCAGCGCTCGGCCCATTGTTGGTGCTCGGTCACCGCTGTCCGTTGCCACCGTCAGTCAGACGTCGTGTTGCCGGGCCGAGGCTGCTGCGGGAGCCACAGTATAACAACCAGCCCTGTTTGCATTTTTATTAGAATGGCGGTTTGGGCCACATGCACATCGCACTCTTGTCAGATTTGACTAAACAGATTTCCCGAGACTACGGTGTGCTGTTAGAAGGTCCCGGCCTTGCACTACGGTAAGATCTGTTTCTTATGAACTTAAAATTGGTTTTCATGTTTAGCATCATCCTACTTCACAGGGGATTTATAGACACCTTGGTAGGGAATTTTTAGAACCCCAAATCCTTAATTTGTCTTTTAATAAGCACTGATGGATGCTTCCTGCAAGGGTTGGCAGTCTTTCAGAAATGGCTGAGACATGTGTGCCCCCTGCGTCACCCTGGGCCTGTTTCTGAAGAAGGATATCATGTCTTGATGGTCACACTGCTCCACTCTCCCTGTCTGGGAGCCACTCCTGGTGGTGAAGCCATCAGACTGTTTGGAGATGAGGGGGGGCGGGGGGGGGGGGGGGAGGTGGCCAGCAAGGGTAGGAGTCCGTTTTCTGGAATGGTTAGGATCTTGTGCAAGCACTGGAACCAGACTGGAGTTTGAATTTATTTAAACTCAGCTACTTAATAGCTGTATGACTTTGAGCAAGATATTTAACCTCTTTGAGTCCCATTTTTCCTGTAACTAAAATGAGAATGTACCTCCCAGGTTGGTTGTGAGGATTAAATAAGGTGAGGCAGCTACAGAGTTTTTGGCACAGGCTCTAGTGCCTGTCCCAGCCTGTCAGCCTTGCCGGGAGGGATGAGAACTTAGGCCTTAGAACTGGCGTCCTGATGGCTGCTGAATGAAGGAGGGATTGGGCAAAACCGTACCTCCAGGAAGGAAGCGAGAAGCCCTCTTGGATGCGCCTCCCGGTTTTGCTGGGGGCGGGCTTGAACCCGCTCACCTGCTTGCTCTTGTAGCTGACGTCTGGCCTGCTTGGGTCACACCTGCAATTTTAGCTCCAGGAGCCACCTTGGAGCTTGGGCCTTTTTGACTCCAAGGGGATTACGGTCTTCCTTTAATAAACTAAAGCCTAGCTTTGACCGAGGTGGCAAGGGAAGGAGAAGAGTGCTGGCATTTTCCTCCCAGGATCTCCTCCCCTGTAGAGTCGTGCTAATTTTGCAGTTACCTCCCTACTGGTTTCACTATCAGGATTGACAAAGGGAGAGGAGTGGAGTCTGACTTGTAAGATAAGGCTTTCTTTCTGGAGTCTGTGGGCCCTGATCCATCCTAGCCCTGTGTCTGCATCTAAACGGTGGACTCCACCTTGCCTGCACCCTGCAGGGGCATGCACCAGGACCCCTTAGCCTCAAAGCCTAGACCCCCAAAGGCCAGGCCCAGGGAGGGGGAACCACCTTTTTATCTTCTGAGTTTTCTCTAACTTGTCTTTTTCCTGAGTGATTAACACTTGGAATGCCACACCCTTTTAAAGATGGACTGTTAAAAACCTAGGAGTTTTATGACATCTGCATATGTCATAGTAACACCAGCACTCATATGGAAGATGAGCACAGACCCCAGGGTGGGTCACCTCATTACATTGCTGCCAAGTGACAAAGAGTGATGGGCTTGGACAATCTGACAATAAAAGTAATAACTAGAAGTGATTGAAACACATCAAATATATTTAAATCGATGATTTGAAGAGTTCCAGGGAACCAATTCATTATTTTGAAAACTATTAATAATGGAATAGTACTAAGCACTCATTCTGTCTTTCCTGTACCAACTGTACCTCAGGGTAACCAAAATAAATAAAAGTGATGGGCTTGGTTTTTCCTTTAGATTTCTGCTCTGCATAGCCTCAAGGCCAGTAAATTTTCCCATGGGATTTTTACCCCCTTTACGCAAGAATTCACTCATTTCATAAGTACTTACTGAATACAGATAAAGTACATCTCTGTCCCTTCCCAGTTGCCTGTGGTTTCTTGCCAAGACTTGATGCAGCAGCCCGAAGAATGCTTACTAGATCACTAATAAGAAGTCTTCGGTCTCTGTAGTTCAGTGACTTACAGATTCTTCGACATACAGGTCACATTTGTAAATGTGACCGTACTGCCTGTTTTCCATGGTGGCCTTGCCCAGTCCTGTCTTTGTTAAAGCATCTGTCATCAATAAGAGATGATAAGCTGTTTGTATAGCAAGGAAAACCCCATTTTTAAGCATATGATAGAGTTTATTAATAAGTGCTCTATCAAGGATAATTAAAGACAAAAAGGGGTAGAAGTTAGAGTCTTTCTAGCTCTGGTAATGTTGAAATACTGATGATGATAAATTCTGATGCAGAGGTCTCTTCATAATTGACCCCAACGGAATCATCAAGCATTTGAGCGTCAATGATCTCCCAGTGGGCCGAAGCGTGGAAGAGACCCTCCGCTTGGTGAAGGCATTCCAGTTTGTAGAAACCCATGGAGAAGTCTGCCCAGCCAACTGGACACCAGATTCTCCTACAGTAGGTTTATTTTCCAAAAGCAATGGGACCCCAGCAGAGGGTCCCAGGTCCTCACTGCCTCAAGGGCTGCTGGCCTGGAATATCCACGAAAGAAGCCAACCCTTGGAGCAAGGGTGTAGATGGTGTGCAAATGGGTGAAGCTGGTGCAGGTGGGGGTGGGACCAGGCACCAGGCGGGCTGTTAATGTAAGTTTCATCCAGGTATTTTTAAAGGAAACAGACCAATCTTTAAAAAGTTAAAGAAATTTAGATTAAAAATTGATGGCTTTCACCTCACTTTTGAGATCATAAAGTCACTTACCCGGTGAAATGTTTTTGTATTTTCAGATCAAGCCCCATCCAACTGCTTCCAAAGAATATTTTGAGAAGGTAAATCAGTAGACCATCCCACGTGCACCTGCAGCTTCCCACACCAGAAAAGAACCACAGCTGGAACTCACTTTTAGCATTTCAAAGATTATTATTTATAGAAGGCAAAAAAACAATTATGCTTGTATTCGTAAATATTACTCTAAATGTTTTGTTTTTGTAACATTGGCCAAGGCTTTTAAAATGTGGTTAGTTACTAATGTAAGGAGTCCTTTATTAGCAGTGTATGGATGGATGGCTAGTTGCTATAGAATGTGCAGTTCCCCTATTTCTTGGATCATGTCTTCAAAGGGAAAAGGAAACAACTCTTCTTTATCAGCCTTACTTGAACCTTTGTGTACACTAGCGTAGTGTGACAGGCATCAAAAGCTTCTGATCAAGGGTCCTGAAATTTTCTTCTTGAGTTTCTTTGTATTAAACTGAATTTTCTTTTAAGATCATAGTTTTAAGTTGTTAGCATCAATTGTCTAATTTAACACTTGCAGGACTTCCCTGGTGGTCCAGTGGTTAGTACTCTGTGCTCGCAATGCAGGGGACGTGGGTTCGATCCCTGGTCAGGGAACTAAGATCCCACATACCATGCAGTGTGGCCAGGAAAAAAAAACAAAACAAACACTTGCAATGAATGTGTATGTGATTGAAGCAGATGTGAATCATGTTTTTTAAAAAACCACCTACAGTGGCCAAGTGACTTAACTGACCATGCATGTTCCCCAGTCCTGAGATTTATACTTTATATAATTATTTTACTTATTTTGTTAGCTGACTTAGTGCCTACATACATTTCTAATATTTATTGGGCATAATTATAAAGGATAATTATTGAATCCAGGGATTGCATTTTGAATTTGAATCATTCATGCATTTGAATCATTGTAATTATTTTATTTCCTGAAGTGTTCAATGTAAAAAAATATAAAAATAAACATTTTAAAATACTTGCATTTTTTTTTAATACTTGCATTTTTAACACCATTAATTTATTGGTTCAGCTTATGCTGTGGGACTCTAGTTTTCCTTCTCTGATTATATCAACAAACATTTATTGAACATTGAACTCAGTGGCTACAAAGATGAATAAGATGCTGGCTCCACATCCAAGGAACTCAGTTTAGGGGGCGAAAGAAACATGGAAGCATTTGTTCATTTTAATAAATCCTGGAGTTCCTACCATATGCTGTGTAGTATTTTGGAGGCAAGAGAGTGAACAGAAAAGACACACCCCTTCCTTTATGCACTTAAATTCTAGAGGGAATAAACATAATAAAAATACATAGGGGGACTTCCCTGGCGGTCCAGTGGTTAAGACTCCACGCTTCCACTGCAGAGGGCACGGGTTCAGTCCCTGGCGGGGGAAACTAACATCCCACATGTCTTGTGGCATGGCCAACAAAAAAATACATAGGATGTTTGGAAGGGCAATAAAGTGAAGCAAGGGACTAGAGCAGAGTGTTGCAGGTGTGTTCTAAAAGGGTTTCAGGGAGTCAGTCTCTCCAGGTCTGTTTTCTCATCTGTAAAATGAGGACTGTAATTGTACCTATCTTAGGGTTTTGATGATCAAATGAGATAAAACATGTAGGTGAGGGAGTAAGGAGGATAAGAAGGTTCTAGGCAAAGGGCATGGCAGGTGCAAAGGACCTGAGGCAAGGGTGGACTTGGGGTGGGTGAAGAATTGAAGGGCCATGTGACCAGAGCTGTGAAGGAGAAGCATGGTAATGGGGAGCCCAGAGTGCTTTATGGGCAAGCTAAGGACTTTGGATTCTATTCTGAGATGGGAAATGTCAGGAATGTTCTTGAGTTACATCAACTTGTTCTAAGAGGATCACTCTGGCTCCTTTGTTAAGGCTAGACAGTCCAGAGAGGGAAGCAGGTCAGGTGGGCTGGATCTGTGACATACTTGCAGGGAGAGCCAGTAGGATAATACAGGTGTGCTAAACTGTGGTACAATAGTTACATTCCTGGGGCATAGAACACTGGGGAACAGTGAGGAGGGGGCACCTTACCCAGCTATGGGCATCAAGGAAGTCTTCCTGGAGGACAAGATGAAGTCTTGAAGCCTATGGAAAAGTGAGCCAAGTGAGCTGAGCAGAAGTGGGAGCTGAGAGGCTACGTGGGCCTCTGATAAACTGGTTTCATGTTCCCAGAGGGGAAGGCAAAGCAAGGGAGGGCAAAGGCCAGCTGCCTGTAAGTGGCCCAGACTGAGCCAGCACTGTTAGGGCTTTTACATGTTTTATCTCATTGGATCCACAACAAAAACAAAATAGGTACAATTACTGTCATCATTTTACAGATGAGAAGGTAGATTTGGAGATATTGATTTGACCAGGGTCGCACAACCAAGTAGTGGACGGTGCTGGGTCCCCAGCCCGGGACTCCTGAGGAGCCCCCTGGACACCCTAAACATCCACACGTCTTCCACAAACACACACAACCCCCCCCCCCCCCCCCCACCCCCCCAGTGCTGGGGGATGGGGTGGAAGGCGGAAAGAAGGCACGTTTTTCTCTGCAGATGGTCCCTACCTGATCTGGTATCCAACAGAAGGAGCTGGATTTGCCCCGGCGCTGGGGAAAAACCCTCGGGCAGAGAGAGAGATAGTGCACTGAAATCAGGGCCAGCTTCACGGGCTGGCGGCAGGGCCCGACACTTAACTTAGAGGGGCCCCGGGGTTTCGGTTTAACGCTCTGATATCGACTTTTGAAAATTCGCAGTCTTTTTTTAATAAGGGGCGCCACGTTTTCACTTTTCACTGGGCCACGCAAATTATTTAGCGAGTCCTGACTACCCCTGATCCCGTGTACGCTGGACTTTAGGTGCAATTGAAGGGATTTTCGAGGGTGATATCCAAAAGCCTGTGCTGGGGTTGGGGGGCGGGGGGCGGTAGTTGGACGCTGCAGGAGCGCAGGGCGAGGCTGTGGAAGGCGCCACACGCCACCTGATCGGGTCTTCGCGGTAGGTACCGTGATCCGGGGGTTCCATAGGTGATCCCTCTAGGCCTGGAGGCGACCAGGCTACCCGAAAGGGCGGAGCAAGGGTGGGAGGCCTTGACCTGTGGGATGGGTGAGCTCACGGCAACAGCAGACGCGCGGGGCCCGGGACGCCGGAACAGCAGGCGCGTGATGCCGAGGAGCGGCGGGCGCGCGGCCCCGGGAGCGGGGAAAGGGGACGCGCGCGCGCCCGGGGCGGGGCTCGCCGCCCGGCTCCTCCTCCGCGCTGGGCCAAGCGGCCGCGGCCTTTCCCGGCAGCTCGTAGGTCTCAGAAAGAGGAGCAGCTGGAGGAAGAAGCGCGGGGGCTGGGCGGCTCCTAGGGTGCAGCAGCGCCGCAGCCTGCATGGAGCCCAACGTGCGCTTCTGGATCACCGAACGCCAAGTACGGCCCGGGCCTGGCGCGTCTGGGGACGGGGAGGGCGTGGGCCGCGCGGCGTGGAGTCGCCGCTGGCCGCGGTGACCTTGGGCAGGCCACGTGGTCGCAGCACCCGCCTTCCCATTTCAGACCCCGGGAGGGGACGAAGGAAACCCAAGCGTGCCGGATGCCGACGGCCATGGCTGTTACCGTGCGTGGCCTCTGCCCCAGGCCTCGCAAGCGAGGGTCGCACAGTATCCCCCTGCAGATCGCACGAACTGAGGAGTCACTCCCCACCACTCAGGGGTCTGCCTTCCGCTGCCTAAGCTGTTGCTGGGCATCAGGTTGGAGAGGAACAGGTCCTCCCAGGAGGCCCCAGCTTCCCCGAGTCTGTAGGCTCAGCCACCGGACAGTGAGACTCGGGGCAGCGGGAAGCCGCCATGGCCGGAAAGTAACCTGGGCCCCATCTCAGAGTGGGGCTGGGCGGCGCTGTCCAGTAGAAATAGGATGGGAGATGCATAGGTAATTCCAAATTTTCTAGTAGCCACATTAAAAAAGTGGCTTTTAAAATTTAAATTTTAATAATATATTGCATTTAGCCCAACAGATATTAACATTTCAACATGTCGTCGATATAGAAAATTATGAATGAGGTATTTTACCTCCTTTTCTGTAGGAAGTCTTCGAAATCCTGTGTATGTTTTTACACATACAGCACATCTCAATTTGGCCTGGCCACGTGTGGCTAATTGGACAGTACAGTTCTAGAGTGTTCTCTTTCAGCCTTTACCTAAAGTAGAGCCTAGCCTGGTTCTCTTAGGTGGGGATGTTGAGGAAGGACAGGGTACTCAAGGTGTCCTGGCAGAGCCAGGCCTCAAAGCTGAAACCACTGCAAAATTTGGGGACTTTTAGGAGCAAACCATGCCTGCTTTCTCCATATGTGAACTGCCTTTCTTGAGCCTTCACTGGGGTGTCTGGTTCTTTATGACTAGAGTTAAGCCTTATAACCACTGCAGGAGGGTGAAGAAACAGATTCTGAGACCTTTCTAGGTAGTGCTTCAAGGTCATATGTGGGGTGTCAGCATAGGCCCATTTGACCCCAAAGTCTGGGCTTTTAACCCTCAAGAGCACTTTGATATTGGAGTGGTTAAGAGCACAGGCCATTGGGTCATTTCCTGGTTGGGTTTCCTTGAATCCATTCGTGAGTCCTTGGAAGCCTCAGTTGCCTCACCTGTAAGATGGGGTTGTTGTGAGGATTCCAGGAGATGCTGCAAGAGGAAGGCCCTATTAGGTTCTCAAAAATAATGTCGACTGCTCTTATTACCATGTATCTTGGTTTTTCTGCTGCCATTAACCTCTCTGGTGCTCTTGCCCCTCTTAAGTCTTTTATTCAACGATTTCTTCAGTGGACAGAATTATTGGATCCTACAAATTTGGTCGTTTCAATTGTAAGTATTTTCTTGTTTTCAGAGATAGTGAATTTCACATTTTATTCTGAAACGTGAAGACTGTGTGTCCCTTTTGAAAGCAGCTGAGATAACAGAATCCATATATATTATCATGTTTTTATTCCTTGCGAATGAGCTTGTTGGATTGGAAGGGTGGTACATAAAAGCGGACGTCTATTCAACAGGTAGTAACAAAGGGGATCCAGACAAACCTCCCTGGTAATGGAGGACAGACCGGCAAAGCTAGTTGCAGACCTTGACCTAGGGTTCTAAGGGCAAAAGGTATAGCGAGGAATTGGGGGAGGTTGTTTAGAGAAGGCAGGGAGGGAGGGAGGGCGGGCCAGGGAGGAAATGTCAGGAAGAGCGGACTGTAAGCAAAATGGGGGAGGGGGGGCCAGGTGGGCCAGGTCACCCAGTTACTAGGGTTTTGTTTTCCTTTTTTTCTGCTGCGCTGCACAGCATGTGGGGTCTTAGTTCCCTGACCAGGGATCGAACCCGTGTCCCCTGCAGTGGAAGCGTGGAGTCTTAGCCACTGGACTGTCACGGAAGTCCTACTGGGGCTTTTATTTTAATTCAGGTGAACCAGGCACTTCTTGAAGGTCCTTGTGTGTCATTCAGACGAGGGGGGTTTGTACCCAGCCAGGTGGTGAGTAACCAGAAGGGACCAGACTGAGAGCAGTTCCGGGGATGGATGGCTCAGCTGTCCAAGTAAAAGATGAGAGTTTGAACCAGCTGTGGCTGAGGGATGAGGAGGAGGAGAGACCCTGTCACCAGCAATGACCCTCGGGGCCAGATCCACAGGGATGCTCCTGTCCTTGTGCTCAAATGTTCCATATAGTCTTGTTTACAATAGAGAAAAACAAGAAACAAGTTGAATGCCCATCGGTAGGGAAATAGAGAAATATAATGTAATATATTCATGCAGTGGAATACTGATTAGCTGTTAAAAATGATGATCTGGTGATCGACCTGTGATATGAAGTGGAAACATATGATATGTGTGATGTTAAATGGAAAAGCATGGTATCCATGATGTTTTGTAAAGAAAGCAAGATGCATATAGTACAGCATTTATGCAAATTACAACATAAAAAACCAAAACTACATATTTGTTTTATGGATACATGTATTCATGTACGTACAAATATAAACAATGGACTGGAAGTTTATACCTTGAATTCATAATAGTGGTCGCCTCTGATAGAATGGAGGGGAAATTGAGACTGGGGGCGATGGATCTTTTGGGGGAAAAAATTAGAAACAAATATAACCAAATGTTCACAGTTGTTAATTCTGGGTGAAGGGATTGTATGTAATCATTTTTTAAATTTCCTTGTTTAATTTTTTTTCTCAGATTAAGTAAAAAAGAAGAGAGAAAATAAGACTGAACTGATTAGATGTGGGTATGAGAGAGAGAGAAGGGACTTCCAGGTTTCTGACCTGTGTAGCCAGGAGGATGGTGACAGTCAGAGAGGAACTGGTGGAGGAGGTGGGGCAGGTGGCAGCAGCAGTGGGGTAAGCCGCTGGAGCTGTCTGAGAAGCAGGGTGGGGGACTTCCCTGGTGGTCCAGTGGTTAAGGAGCTTCCAGTGCAGGGGGTACGGGTTCAGTCCCTGGTTGGGGAACTAAGATCCCACGTGCCGCGAGGTGTGGCCAAAAAATAAATAAATAAAAATTAAAAAAAAAAAGCTGGGTGGTCTGAATCTGAATGACACACAGGACTATCTAATGGAAACTCAGGGAGTACAGAGCCTTAGCTCCACGTTGCTTTAAAATTAAAATCAGGTGTGAGTGAACATGTGCTTCTTAAATCTGTGGATAAATCGGAACGGTGTTGAGATCATTGCTTGATTTCCTTATCTCCGATTATAGGAAAAAATAGAAAAATCAAGGCAGCTATTGTTAACACACGAAGATGCATCCGGAAGTGACCTGGAGGACAAAAGGGTATGGCTCTTATTCCCAGGTGTGCCTGGCTCAAGGCTGAGTGGGGTTGCCTTTAGGGGATTTTACTTGCATGGTCTGAAATCAGGTGGGATTTTGCCATTGTAAACACTGCCCAGTTGGGTTAGCTTTTTAAATGTAGGTAGGATTCCTTCTCGTAAACCAGATTAATATTAGTTACTAGTGTTAGGAACTGGTATTAAGAAAAGGCATAGGGTTCCTCCTGTGCGACAGATATTTGCAGTTGCAATATCTGTTGTGAGGATTCTCTGTAGCTGATTCCTGGAGCCCCATGGCAAATTCCAGAATTCAGGCAGGCCTCCAGAGTCAGAACCTACTTCCTACTAGAGGCAGCGAGGTTATAGTCCTGCCCAAAGACTCAAACCAAGTGTTTGTTATCTACCTTGCAGTGTACGGGGCTTTCCGGAGGCCACAGACATCAGTCCCTCAAGGCAGCCTGCGGAAAGCGCACACTTTTTTTTTTTTTTTGCGGTACGGGGGCCTCTCACCGTTGTGGCCTCTCCCGTTGCAGAGCACAGGCTCCGGACGCGCAGGCTCAGCGGCCATGGCTCACGGGCCCAGCCGCTCCGCGGCATGTGGGATCCTCCCAGACCGGAGCACGAACCCGTGTCCCATGCATCGGCAGGCAGACATCTCAACCACTGCGCCACCAGGGAAGCCCAAGCTCACACATTTAACTTGGTTTTTCTGAGAACTTGTTGGGGCCTCTGAGCTCGCAGCCTGGCTCTGTTAAAAGTGACTTGGCTAATGGCGTGGTCTGCACACAGTTCACTCTGCTCTGAGCCAGGGGAGGCTCGCCGCGCTCAGGGACTCGCCCGAGGGACGAGTTAGGTGTTGGCCTCTCCTCGGTTAGAGACTTGGGGCTTTTTAATGCTTTGGTCATTTTCATGTGGATCTTCTCTTTGCTTCCTGTCAGTTCATTCGTTTGATTCATTTGATTCACTTGTTTCGATTTGTTCAGTCCGTGTGGTAGAGAGCAGTTTGCCCTCCAGCCTGTGAAAGGTGGAGCAAACATGGCACCAGAAATGAGACTGTAGAGGAGATTGGCTGCTAAGCCACCTTTAAAAGCGATTGCTTGGTTTTTCTCTTTTTAGGTACAAGAAGCTTGGAAGAGAAGTCTCGTAAGTTTCTGCCCCGTCCTAATTTTTAGCCTAAGATAACAAACCAAACATCAGACTCACCTTTGTGTTCACCCTTCTGAAGTCAACAGTGCATCCTGACAGTAGCAAGCTGATCCCTGGTCCTTTTCGACCTGCAGGTGAGTTGATTCTCCTTTTCAGAGTGGTTTGTAACCTTTAGAAAACCTTGCCTCCCTCTAGTCAAGTGTTTGGTTCCCCTGGCAACCAGCCCCCTTCCTTAGGTGCTTTCCCAGGGTCACTGCATTGACATTATCTCAGGTGTGGTTGAAAGGGGCTTGTTATGAAGAATAAGAGACACTCCTTTCACCTTTATCGCCCTTCTCACTTAGGAAATTTCAAGGATTTTAGGCTGTGTGCCAGGAGCAGGGATGAAGAGCAAGTATATGTGTCTTATTCTAAGTCCCAGTGTCACAGATGTATTGAATTCATGTGGAAGGGCGAACAAGGACTTGGAATAAGGGACCACTTACCTTCATTGGGCAGGAGCCTGGTCAGATCTAGCTCTGCTGCACTGATTTAAAGTTCTGCCACGTGCACAGCTATTATTTTTATTAGGAACAAAACAGCATGTGTAAAAAATACCCTTTGACGTCCATGCCTTCATTCGGCCTGAGAAGAGGTTTTTGGGTGGGTGGTTTTCCACCCACTCTGCTGTCACTGACCCTCTTGTCTTTTTTGCCAGCTCTCCTGCCTTTCACGGCGCCCATGGTGAGTAAGCTGCCGCTCACCGCTCTGAAGCTGGGGGCTTAGGAAGATGTCCCCCCATCTCCTAAGCTCAGTGGCTGGTGTCCTCCAGCTCTGGACCTCTGTCCCGTGACTGCCTGATAGATGGTTAGGACACTGCACCTCCGACCCTTGTCCACTCCCCACCGCACTCCCACATCTCCCCCCCGGGCACCAGGGCCTCTTGAGGGTCCACAGTGTCATAGGTAATCCTTTCTCTGAACACCTAGCGTGCAAAGTGCTGTGGAGCAGACTGATGAGTTAAGATGTGCTCCCTGGCACAAGCCCATGTCACTGGCTGTCACCTTCTCCCCGCAAGCCCTCCCCTTCATTCAGGCCCTCCCCTGGAAACCGGAATCGCCCCCAGCGAGGCCGTCCACCTTGGCTCTCATGAGGTGCTCTCACCAAGTGACAGCACCCCTCTGCCCCTGCAGGTGCTGCTTCTTAGCTGCCCTGCTCAGTTGCCTGGAGATGGGGACCACTGTGAGGCACCCAGGGGCTCCCAGTGCCCGTGGGTGCCCATCCAACATCACCCGTCCACTGCCCACTAGCCCCCTGCATCGCACCTTCCTCTACTTTCCCTGCTCCTGGGGTCTCAGGTCTGCGTCTCCCTGGGCAAGTTCTTTGCTCCACAAGCCCTCCCTCCCCCCAGACACTCACAACTCTGCTTTATTTTCTTTTTTATTTATTTATTTAATTGGAGTATAGTTGATTTACAGTGTTTCAGGGTTACAGCAAAGTGATTCAGTTATATATATATACCTATTCTTTTTCAGATTCTTTTCCATTGTAGGTTATTACAGGACATAGAATCTAGTTTCCTGTGCTACACAGTAGGTCCTTGTTTATCTGTTTATTTTATAATATATATAGTAGTCTGTATCTGCTTTATTTTCTTTGCAGGTATTTTTGTCAATGCTGCCAGTAAAAAGTCTAAAGTCCATGATTTTACCTCAGGTAGCAACTCTTTCTATTTCATAATTATTGAATGTTTGTGCTTGAAACCAGAATGTGACATGTTAGCCTCTGTCTTCCTGCAGGTTTCCTTCTACACGTACAGTACAGTCTTCAACATTGTCAATGGAAATGCAAGTTATGTGAGTATTATGAGGCCCAGAGGGTATGCAATTTCATATTGTTTCTTTTGGCGATTTTGTGTGTTTAATTATCTTTCCTGGGTAAAACTCTGGTATTTGCTAAATATGAACTTTTGTTTTTCCCTAGGATCGTCGCCCCCATGAGAGTATCTTAGTAGGAGCAGGAGTGATTGCTTCGTCCACCTTTTTTGGAGTGTGTATTTTAGAAATCTGTCGAATCTCTTTTATTCCTCAGAATCAAAATTTTACGTTCTAACTTAATTTAGAAAGTGTGATTAAGACACAAAGAAGAAAATAAAAGTCGTCTGTAATCCTGTCGCCCCAAAATTGTGTGATTATGTTCCAGGTTTCTAGGCATGGGCTCAGTACTGTTATCTTTAAAAACAAATTCAGGGGACTTCCCTGGCGGGCCAGTGGTTAAGACTCTGCGCTTCCACTGCAGGAGCTGTGGGTTCGATTCCTGGTCAGGAAACTAAGATCCCACACGCAGCGCGGCACGGCCAAAAAAAAAAAAAATTTATTCATGTTTATAAACATGTTACACAAATTGTGTATTGCTTTAGATGTCAGGATACTAATAGGAGAAAATGTCGATTTCAGAGTCCAGTAAGCCTGGGTTCACATTTTGGCTCAAATTTTTAATGGCTTAGTGACTCTGGACAAGTTCTGTTACCTCTCTTGAGTCTCCAAGAGTTCCTCTGATGATCAGGGAGAACATGTCAGTGTTGCAGGAATTAAAACAAGAAATACACGGAGAGCACTTGGCAGGGGTCTGACCTGTAACAGTAAGTAAGTTGACACTAGCTCTCTGCTGGTCCCGTGCAGTAATGATTTTTCTCTCCTATTTTCTAGTTATTCCCTCGTTTGCTCCAAGTAAGATTTTCACTGAATAGCATTTTGAGCAGAAACGTCATTCCTGTCGTCATTCTCGGTAAGCAGGGAGCCTCCCTCCATCTTCGGGGATACCCAAGTCCCTGGGCCACACTGTAGCTGATGAGGGCCGCTGTTTGCATCTTGCCAGTGCCCCCAGGCCCAAATTAGGTCTTTGGTTTGAGAGGTGACACTTTCTCTGTAGATACTCCTTTAGTTGTCCAAGGGTGAACACAAACCTGGAAGCACAAATTACATTTGAAAGACCCTGTACAAGCCCTGTCCATGTATTATTTCATTTAATCTTGACAACAACTTAGGGGTAGGTAATGTTATTATTCCCATTTACAGATGAGGAGACTGAGTCAAGGGGAGGTTAGGGAAGTTTTATGGGGTTTCACAGGGAGAAAGTGGTGGTCTAGGGGATTCCAACCCAGTGGTCTGACTCCAAGGGAGTGACAGAGATATTAACCAATTGTTTTAAGTTTGCCAGCCTGCAAGTTCACTAGTTCACGCTCCACATTTGGGTTTGGGAATCATAGCAGCTTGAAGAGTTAGCAGAATTATGTCAGTGGTAAACTTTGGGAAATTATGTTACAGAAACTTGGTCAAACCAGCTTCAGTAGGGATTTCCGCAGTGGTCCGGTGGTTAAGACTGCGCTTCCACTGCAGGGGGCACAGGTTCGATCCCTGATCAGGTAACTAAGATCCCACTTTCCACGTGGCGTGGCTAAAGAAACATAAAAAAACAAAAAAACAGCTTCAGCAAAGCAGGTAGGCGTATTTCAAGGACCCCAGGGTTTCTCCGGGAATCCTGTCGGGGTGTCAGAACCTGGTGCTAGTTTGTGGTCAGGATCCAAGACTGAGAGCCCAGCAATTCTGACCCTACCCCACAGCCCAGAGGAGAGCTTGGCTGGCCCAGTAGCACCCGAGGATCAGGAAGCGCAACCATCAAAGAAACAGGCATGACACTTGAAAAGATGGTGCTTTATTGGACCGACACTTATCTCTCTGTTGTGTGTTTTCTTCTTTACATCCACAGCCCAACTCAGTGGAATGAATGTGGTTGCATCGAGAAGTTTGGAGCCCCTGCGAGGAATTGAGGTCATGGACAAGGACGGCAGTGTCATAGGCTACTCCAGAAAAGCTGGGACAAAGGTAGGGGGACACACGAGATGGAGCTGTAAGCCGCTTGCCTTTTGGGCAACGAATTGAATTGCCTGTTTGAGAGCTGGTAAAAAATTCATGTCTCCCTTCAACCTTTTGTTATCTGTCTTTTCTTACGATGCTGAGAGAGAGAATTTACATTTTGTACCCTGATGTTTATTTTTTAAATTTAAAAAAATTTTTAATCTGTTCTCTGCAGTAAGATCTTTTTCTTTTTATAAATTTATTTATTTTATTTATTTTTTATTTTTGGCTGTGTTGGGTCTTCGTTGCTGCGCGTGGACTTTCTCTAGTTGTGATGAGCGGGGGCTACTCTTCTCTGTGATGCACAGGCTTCTCATTGCGGTAGCTTCTCTTGTTGTGGAGCACGGGCTCTAGGTGCGTGGGCTTCAGTAGCTGTGGCACGAGGGCTCAGTAGTTGTGGCTTGCGGGCTCTAGAGCGCAGGCTCAGTAGTTGTGGCGTACAGGCTTAGTTGCTCCACGGCATGTGGGATCTTCCTGGACCAGGGCTCGAACCCGTGTCCCCTGCATTGGCAAGTGGATTCTTAACCACTGTGCAACTAGGGAAGCCCCACCCTGACGTTTAAAAGGTGATGCATTAGTCTGGGTTCTCCAGAGAAACAGAACCAATAGGATATCTGCCTATCTATCTATCACCTATCTATATATATAGTAAGACATTTATTTTAAATAATTGGCTTGTGCAGTTTTTGCACTGGGAATGTGTAGGGCAGGCCTGAAAGCTGGAAAGTCAGGAGCTGATGCTGTGGTCTTGAGGCAGAATTTCTTCTTTGGGAAACCTCAGATTTTGCTCTGAAGGCTTTCCAACTGATTGCATGAGGTCCATCCACCCTATGGAGGGTAATCAATCTCCTTTACTTAAAGTCAACTGATTGTAGATGTTAATCACATCTACAAAACACCCCCACAGCAACACCTCGGTTGTGTTTGATTAAATACCTGGGAACTACATCCCAGCCAAACTGACCCCTAAGATGGGTCACAGATGGACATCCACCAAACGTTTGGCCCCTGTCTGAAGGTGAGATCTTGTCCTCCAAGCTCAGCATCTGCCCTCCCAGCCTGCTCTGTACTCGGGGAAGTCAGTGGACATGTCTCTGGGTTTAAGAGAAGCCCTCCGTGTCCACCTCCCAGTGGATTTTCTTAGAGCCTTCATCTTTAAGGACCAGTCTGCTCTCAAGAATGGCCTGAGGAAATCCAATGCTCTGACCTAAAACTCCTCTAAAAGGCCTCCATTTCTAAGACTTCTTATTGTTAAATAGTTTACTCGTTTGCTCAATCCAACACAGTAGCTTCTGTCTGCATTCAGCTCAAAGAACCTGCAGTAGTCTATGGTTTCATTTGGGGTATAGACTTTAAAAAAAAAAAAAATACCTTTCAGGAAGTGAGATCTTTTTTGATCTCAGTGAAGTGACTTTAGCTGAAGAACTGTAACGTGAGGCAGTTGCTCACAAAGCAAAGAGAGTAGCTGGGCTTCTCACAGTGTCTGCGTTCAAGGGGGCTCCCTGAGCCAGCTGGACCTCCTTCCGCCCAGAATGCTGGTGGGAGAGGTGGTCAGATAAGATGGCCTCTCAGTTGATCAGTAACTACATCATTATTTGGCTCATGAAACATGTTACTCTAAATCCTGTCACCGATTTACAGAGCTGAATTGTAAACCACTGGATACGTGCTACAGTATTCCCACCAGCCCGTCTAATAGTAGGTCTGGAAATAGTGGCCGCCTTTCTACATGAGTTACAACAGGGACATCATAATTGCAAGTAACAGGAGAGAAATTGCTGCCAGAAATAAAATACCTTGTTTTGGAAATGAAGGTTCTATGTTTAAGAATCCACCCTAAAGGGTCCACCAGAGGGCAGACAGCAGAAGCAAGAAGAGCTACAGTTCTGCAGCCTGTGGACGGAAAACCACATTCACAGAAATATAGACAAAATGAAAAGGCAGAGGACTTGGTACAAGATGAAGGAGCAAGATAAAACCCCAGAAAAACAACTAAATGTAGTGGAGATAGGCAATCTTCCAGAAAACGAATTCAGAATAATGATAGTAAAGATGATCCAGGACCTCGGAAAAAGAATGGAGGCAAAGATGGAGAAGATGCAAGAAATGTTTAACAAAGACCTAGAAGAATTAAAGAACAAACACCTAGAAGAATTAGAGAACAAACAAGCAGAGATGAACAATACAATAACTGAAATGAAAACTACACTAGAAGGAATCAATAGCAGAATAACTGAGGCAGAAGAATGGATAAGTGACCTGGAAGACAGAATGGTGGAATTCACTGCTGCAGAACAGAATAAAGAAAAAAGAATGAAAAGAAATGAAGACAGCCTAAGAGACCTCGGGACAACATTAAACGCAACAACATTCACATTATAGAGGTCCCAGAAGGAGAAGAGAGAGAGAAAGGACCCGAGAAAGAGATTTGAAGAGATTATAGTTGAAAACTTCCCTAATATGGGAAAGGAAATAGCCACTCACGTCCAGGAACCGCAGAGAGTCCCAGGCAGGAGAAACCCAAGGAGAAACACACCGAGACACATAGTAATCAAATTGACAAAAATTAAAGAAAAATTATTGAAAGCAACAAGGGAAAAACGACAAATAACATACAGAGGAACTCCCATAAGGTTAACAGCTGATTTCTCAGCAGAAACTCTACAAGCCAGAAGGGAGTGGCGCAACATATTGAAAGTGATGAAAGGGAAGAACCTACAACCAAGATTACGCTGCCCGGCAAGGACCTCATTCAGACTCGACGGAGAAATCAAAAGCTTTACAGACAAGCAAAAGCTAAGACAATTCAGCACCACCAAACCAGCTCTACAACAAATGCTAAAGGAAATTCTCTAAGTAGGAAACACAAGAGAAGAAAAGGACCTACAAAAATAAACCCATAACAATTAAGAAAATGGTAATAGGAACATACATATCAATAATTACCTTCAGGGCTTCCCTGGTGGCGCAGTGGTTGAGAGTCCGCCTGCCGATGCAGGGGACATGGGTTCATGCCCCGGTCTGGGAAGATCCCACATGCCGTGGAGTGGCTGGGCCCGTGAGCCATGGCCACTGAGCCCGTGTGTCTGGAGCCTGTGCTCCGCAATGGGAGAGGCCACAACAGTGAGAGGCCCGCGTACTGCAAATAAATAAATAAATAAATAAATAAATAAATAATTACCTTCAATGTGAATGGATTAAGTGCTCCAACCAAAAGACACAGGCTCGCTGAATGAATACAAAAAAAAGAGACCCATCTATATGCTGTCTACAAGAGACCCACTTCAGACATAGGGACACATACAGACTGAAAGTGAGGGGATGGAAAAAGATATTCCATGCAAATGGAAATCAGTAGAAAGCTGGAGTAGCAATACTCATATCAGATAAAATAGACTTTAAAATAAAGACTGTTACAAGAGACAAGGAAGGACAGTACATAATGATCAAGGGATCAATCCAAGAAGAAGATATAACAATTATATATGCACCCAACATAGGAGCACCTCAATACGTAAGGCAACTGCTAACAGCTATAAAAGAGGAAATCAAGAGTAACACAATAATAGTGGGGGACTTTAACACCTCACTTACACCAGTGGACAGATCATTCAGACAGAAAATTAATGAGGAAACACAAGCTTTAAATGATACAATAGACCAGATAGATTTAATTGATATTTATAGGACATTCCATCCAAAAACAGCAGATTACACTTGCTTCTCAAGTGCACACGGAACATTCTCCAGGATAGGTCACATCCTGGATCACAAATCAAGCCTAGGTAAATTTAAGAAAATTAAAATCATATCAAGCATCTTTTCCGGCCACAATGCTATGAGATTAGAAATCAGTTACAGGCTACAAACAACAAATGCTGGAGAGGGTGTGGAGAAAAGGGAACCCTCTTGCACTGTTGGTGGGAATGTAAATTGATACACTATGGAGAACAGTATGGAGGGTCCTTAAAAAACTAAAAATTGAATTACCATATGATCCAGCAATCCCACTGCTGGGCATATACCCAGAGAATACCATAATTGAAAAAGACACATGCACCCCAGTGTTCATTGCAGCACTATTTACAATAGCCAGGACATGGAAGCAACCTAAATGCCCATCAAGAGATGAATGGATGAAGAAGATGTGGCATATGTATACAATGGAATATTACTCAGCCATAAAAAGGAACGAAATTGGGTCATTTGTAGAGACGTGGATGGACTTGGAGACTGTCACACAGAGTAAGTCAGAAAGAGAAAAACAAATATTGTATGTTAACGCATATATGTGGGATCTAGAAAAATGGTACAGGTGGACCAGTTTGCAGGGCAGAAATAGAGACACAGATGTAGAGCACAAACGTATGGACACCAAGGGGGGAAAGTGGTGGTGGTGGGGTAGTGGTGGGATGAATTGGGAGATTGGGATTGACATGTATACACTAATATGTATAAAATAGATAACTAATAAGAACCTGCTGTATAAAAAATAAATAAAATAAAATTGAAAACAAAAAAAGAATCACCCTAAAGAGACATCTTTAAATAGTTTGAGGAGAAATTTACATAGTATAAAATTCATTGTAAGAGTACAGTTTCATGAATTTTAGTAAATTCAAACAGTTGTGCAACCATCACCACAGTCCAATTTTAGAAGATTTTCATCACCCTAAACATTTTTCATGTGCCCATGTACCATCACTCCCCCTCCCAGCCCCAACCCCAGGAAAACACTGATCTGCTTTAAAATTTATTTATTTATTTGTTTCTGGCTGCGTTGGGTCTTCGTTGCTGCACGCGGGCTTTCTCTAGTTGCGGCGAGTGGGGGCTGCTCTCCGTTGCGGTGCGTGGGCTTCTCATTGCGGCGGCTTCTGTTGTTGCAGAGCACGGGCTCTAGGCACGTGGGCTTCAGTAGTTGTGGCTCACGGGCTCAGTAGTTGTGGCTCACGGGCTCTCGAGTGCAGGCTCAGTAGTTGTGGCGCACGGGCTTAGTTGCTCCATGGCATGTGGGATCTTTCCAGACCAGGGCTCGAACCTGTGTCCCCTGCATTGGCAGGCGGATTCTTAACCACTGTGCCACCAGGGAAGTCCCCTGATCTGCTTTATATCGTCATAGTTTTACCTTTTCTAGAAGTTTCATACAAGTGAATCATACGGTATTTTTGTGTAGGGGTTCTTTGACTTTTGAGGTCTGTCCAACTTTTAAGGCATCAGTAGTGTGTGGCTTTTTATTGCTGAGCAGTGTTCCATTGTATGGCTGTACCACGTTTTGCTTGTCCACTCCCCAGGCAATAGATACTGGGATTGTGTCCAGTTTTTGGCTATTACATGTGATGCTGCTCTGACCATTTATGTACGACTCTTCGTGTGGATATATGTTTGCATTTCTCTTCAACTCAAATTTAAGTGCAGGGCATGGGTATCGTTATGAACTGTTCACAGAGCTGGAGAGAAGAGTGACAGCAAATGTTTAATCTACAAGTTGTTCCTCAGCACCTCCTCCCTGCTGGGCGCTGTGCTGGGCTCTGGAGACCCACACCCTTACCAGTCAGCATCCCTCTTCTCCAGGGGCTGGGGGCAGGGAGGCAGCCTCGGGCCCTGCTAGCTACCCACTTATCTAGCCCAGCTCATTGAGAGAAACTTCCTTTTTTGCATGAAGGCCAATTTAGGGTAAAAGAAAGGTTTGATGGTCTGCTCTTTTTTAAGTGTTTATCTTAAGAATAAAGTGTCTGCGACTGTGCGTAAGCATTCTTTTATCACTTCCCTGTCACCGAAAGGTTTATTTTCTTTGGCTAAAATTTCAGAAACTGCGTAACCAGCAATATCTGATTGTAATAGGGCACCTTTGATCAGATTTCAGAAGCCTAGTCCGTGCTGTTTTCCTTGGCCTGGCCTTGTCGGCTACTCAGTTGCAAGCTGTCACGCGTCTTGCAGTGTCTCCTCATGACCGGTGTCTGGTTTGGAATGTCTTCTCTTCCACACGAGACAAATGGAGCGAGGCTGGCCTCGCCTCACTGACGTTGAAACACAGCACGCTCCGCAGCCACTTTTCTCCTCCTGGAGTCAAACAACTTTATCTTGTATTCCTGAAAGTTTATTTTAAAAGCCACCCTTCTTGGCGCCCTCTGTCCTCGTGGGGGAAGGACATTCCCGCGGAGGATCGGGTGAGCTGAGCGTTAGTGTCCTAAGCAGAGAACAGGCCTGCTGGGTACAGCAGAGGAGCCCAGACAGCGGGCTGTAGCCCCAGGGTCACAGGGTCATGGGGTTATGGGAGGACAGAAGTGCACAGAACAGAGTTCAGGGGAGGGAATGGTGGGGAGAGTGCCTGTCCATCTTACGCTGAGCGGTGCTGTGTGTGGAGCTGTGTCTTATCCAGGGCTTGGGTTCTGAAGTTCACATGCAAGTGTCATCTATAGTCGGAAATTTCCCTTGAAAGTCTCTGCCATTGCTCTTGAGTACACATGATTTTGTGCATGTAACCCATACAGTCAATCATATGTTTAAATGTTCAATATAGAGAGTAACGTATATTCTAGAAAAGATGACAACATGGTAGGAAATATACATACGTGTTTACGCAAAATAAAATTTTATAGCACATTGTTAATTACACAAGCAAAAGATGGGTGCATACGGGAAGACATATTCATGTTACATGTGGGTGTGATGCCACACCAGTGCACTCAGAGCCGGCCTTCCTCCACTGGAAGGGGTGGGAATAACTTGGGGGGCCTGTTCAGGAGAGGAAGGCCAGTGGCAGAGTCCTGGACTGGAAGGAAAACATGGAGCGGTCCTCAGTGGCAAGTCCAGTCCAGCATTTCCATCAAACGGACTGCCATCTGGTTCTAAGTAAGGATTTGTCCGTAAGCTGCCTTTGCTTGTGCTTGGTATTTTATTTGGGGTGGTTTGGGGGAGTGATGGAGACCACTGTGGAGTCAGGGAGGTAAATCCCGTCTCTGGTTCCTCTGGCACCAACCCCAGGCATCCTCTGTACGTGTGCACGTCAGGCGCCGCCTTCACCTTTTGCACGTGCATTGTTTGACTAAGAGAGAAGGGAGAGCTGCTGTTTGCCGGCCTCTGTCGTGAGTTGCAAGATGCCTGGAAACTGTCTCACTCCACGTGCTAAGCTGCTTTCTTTTCATTTCCACTAGGCCGTTAAAGACACAGCAACATCCAGAGTTGTGCTGTTTGGGACCTCAGCTTTTATCCCTGAAGTCTTCTCATACTTTTTTAAAAGGTAAGAGGTACGCTCATCTCCCCGGGTAGGAATAAACATTTTAACAATCAAAATTGTATAAAACTCGTCAAGTACTGAACCTGGTTGGAGAGGTGGGAATAAGTTGCTTCAGGAATCTTCCTTCTAAACACGCTTCATCACAGTTAAGATAGTAGGATTGATTTAGGGCAGATGTGCAAATCCTGATGTGCACATTCCAGCAAACCTGGAATCTCGCCCAGGCCCTGTCCTCAGTTACATCTGCTCCTGGGCATGTCCCGGCACCTGCTGAGGCTCAATTCCTCGCTTCTAGAATGATGAGTGTGGATGATTTGCGGGTTCTCCCAGCTCTGATATGCTATGAATATTGCTCAAGCCTCTTTTTCCCCCTTCATTCCAAGCATGTGTTAAATTAGCTTAAGTGGCCCAGAATCAGTAGACTGCCATCCCTTTTGAGAAGCGAGACATGGCCTGTTAGGAGGAGAGCCTGGGATCGGCCAGTATGAGAGGCCCCACTTGCAGTGAGTAGCTTAGGGCAGAAGGGAGATGCGTTGGTTTAGATATTGGGTACGGTCAGGGTACGTTGCCTGTGGCAGCTGATCAGTAGCTCTGGTGCAGGACGGTCCTCTCTTCTTCGTGGGTGTTGTCTTCCTTCTCTCCCACCACACACTGGCTTCTTCGTGTTGAGGGACATGACTGTAGCCACCTCCCAGCTCATATCCTCACAGTGTCCTGATGAGAGAGAAAAACACAGCAAACCCTGGGGGTTTAGGGGCAGGGAATGTCTTCCACTCAGTTCACAAACTCCCAAGGAAGGATTCTGTTGGCCCAAGAGGGGTCACCTGTCTAGTGCTGAACCAGTGCGCTCTGTCCAGGTGGTGAGCTCGGAAGTCCCTGCTAGGACCACACAAGGAGCACATTTCAGGATGTAGCAGTGTCCTGGGCAGAGGCAACTGTTACTTCCCGTGGTTGATCCAGCTGGGTGGGTGTGGGGACTTCTGTTGGGTTGGGGTCTTCCTGAACCTCTCTGGCTGGCCTCAGAGTGGGGGCTTCTGGAAAAGCTGGGGTCCTGCGGTTCGTCCCCTGAGGCCTGCACAGTGGCACCCGCTGTTTGGTGAGGAGAGATGGTCCTCATTTCCCAGTGGGCCTTGGGTGCCTGGAAGGACCTCATGTCATCCCACAGCTATGATGGTGTCCAAGCTGGAGTGACCACCTTGGCTCTTCCGACTCAACCCTTTCATTTTGCATATGAAAAAACTCAAGGCTCAGAAGGGGAAAGTGACTTGCCCAAGAGCACACAGTCTGTCAGTGGCCGAGCCCCAGCCGGACCCCAGGACCCCAGGTCTCTGACTCCCAGGCTGGGCTTCTTGCACCTTCTTCCCACACTCTCAAAGGTCATGGTCAGAATGTCACATCCGTGTCAGTGTAGCCCAGGGGAGAGCACAGGCTCTAGAATCTGACCTCTCACTTTTAAGAATTTGGAGATTTTTGACAAGGGACTTACACGGTCTGTGGCTGCAGCCTCTTGTTCGTGTGAAGGGTATGATGATAACACAAACCTCACAGGGTCACGGGAGGATCTAATGAGCAAATGCGTGTGAAGTGCTTGACCCGGGCCTGACGTGTAGTGAGTGCTCTGTGGGTGCAGCTGCTGGTATCGCCTGTTTGTGGGGCAAGTGGGAACCAAGTCTGGGCCTGCAGCTGCTGGCAAGACAATTGGACACCATTCGAGCAGAGGGCTGACCTCTAAAAAAAGCCCTGGTACCTTGTCTCTTACAGGACCCAGTTTTTCCTGCAGTGTCCGTGGTCACTGTGGACGCTAAAGCTTTCTTGTACTATCCTTGTCATGGGACTCATGGTGCCAGTTTCTTTCAGTGTATTCCCACAGATTGGACGGGTAAGTGTCCCCCTTCGACTTCCTCTAAGAATATATATCTCTTTCTTCCCCTCATTATCAGAGTGAAATAAATTATTCTCCTAAAAAATCTGCGAAATTTTCAAAAGTATAAAACAAAGTAACATTATTTATGCATAATCCCATCTCCCAGGTCACTTGTACAGTTTTGGATTCTGTGTTTCTTAACTGTATATCTGAAGCATGTTTCTGGGACGTTAAAAAAAGACCTTTGAGGTATTTTAAATACTTCATAATATACTATAGCGACACCCCACCCAATGGAACTTTCCGCAGTGATGGAAATGTTTTATATCTGTGTTGTCCAGTGTGTGTAGCCGCTTATTACATGCGGCTGTTGAGCGCTTGAAACGTGGCTAGTGTGACTAAAGAACTGAAATTTTAATCTAGTTTAATTTAATCTTACGTGCTCACATGCAGCTAGTGGCTGCTGTTCTATAGACCATGATGATCTATGGTGCGTCAGACTGCCTGGACTCAGATTCCCAGCTCTTCCATGACCCTGGTCAATCTGCTTAAACTCTCTGAGGCTTAGTTTCTATTAAAGACAGATGATGATCATAGTGCCTCTGCAGAGCCTTGTTGCTGGTATCAAGGACGTTATTGATGTAGCAGATATCAATTTCTAGCATTTCTTGGCTGTCACCCCCCCGTCCCCAAACCCCGCCAAGCAAGTCTTGGCATTTGCTGGACTTTTAAAAATACCTTGTTGGTCCGAGGTGGGCATGACGTAGCTGAATGGTGGTCCTGTCCTGCCTAGGGTGGTTTGCAGAGAGAGCCCAAGGCTAAGAGGGATTCTGCCAGGCCCCTGCCCAGGGCACCTCCTTGGACATTACATGGGCCACAGCATTTGTTTGTATTTGAAATTTTCCATAAGGAAGTTTTTAAGAAGTTAGGTTAATGTTTCTTTGTTATCGATTAGACATCACTGAAAAGGTTATATGAAATAGATGCTTTCTGAAATTGTGTTGTTTTTTTTTTTAAACTTGGCTTCTAAGGCAAGAAGACGTCTTAATGTGAATAGTAAGAATTTAACTTTGTGTTTTAGATACAGTGCAGTGAGCTTGAAAAGGAAATTCAGTCTGCAACAGAAGAAACAGAACTCTTCTACAACAGAGGGGTATAGGGGTGAGTTTTAGGTGAATTTGTTTGGTACCTGCGTGAAAACCTTCCTCCAAGGTTTCAGTTTGGACAACCCTGCCAGGAGTGTCCTGGAACCCCCAGAGGTGTCTGCACCAACAGGATGGCTTCCGATTACGCACGCCAAGACTGTTTTGAGGCTGATCGTGCCTAGGGTTAAACAAGCTTGGGTGGAAGGAGAGAAACGGGGGCTGTCCTGTCTAACCCACCACACGGGGTTGCTGAGGGGATGAATGTGTGATGTAAGATTCAGTTTTCTATTCGTCAGCCTGTGAAAGGATACTGTGAACTTACTAGTAAACTTTTCTAAAGTTGAGTATTGGAAAACGAAGGAGAAAGGTCCACCAATGCCCACGTGCCCAAGGCACAGGCATTAAACTGATGGCCCATCCCGAGGTGTACACGTGGGGAGCCAATGAAGGCCTCCAACCCCCAAAGCAATCCTGTGTCCCTTCTCAGCTTACTCCTGTTAGACAGCTGCTTAAAATCTTTGCCAGCTGCTGCCCAGCTGCTTCTTTCTCCTCATTGGCAGGTGACCCTGTCTCCTCCTCCACTGTGAAAGCCAAGGCGATTGGCCTCCTGGCTCCAAACCTGCTGACCTCCCTCCACACACGCCGGCCTCCCCTCCTCCGTGCAAAGTCAGCTGTGCCCTGGGCTTGAGCCCGACCCTTCCTGTTTGCTCAGGGCCTTTGCTCTGCGGCCTCCTCTGCCCCTCTGGCTCCAGCCTCCCCGCTCTGCTCCTTCTCCGTAGCATTTCAACTGCTTGAGTCACCTGCCTCATGCAAAAAGCAAAACCCCCCCTTTGTAGCCGGACTTTTTCAGAGTTTTCTACCCTCACTGTTTCCACCCCGCCCTCCACTGCTGAGACTGCCGTCATCCGTGCCCCCACAGATGCTGGCCATACTGCCACTGCCCCCTGTGCGGGCCTGTCGTGGGGCTTGCTCTCCCCTGCCCAACAGGCCCACGTCCAGCGGCCCCCTGCGCTTCGCCATCTGGATGTCCACTTGAGACCATCTTCCCCTCCCAACCTCAGGGAACGGCACCACCGCGTACCAGTTTCGTCAGACAGGATCACTGGCCTTGGCCTTACTCCCCCATCGCCCCACCCCATTCAGCACTATTGGGCTGAGTCTGTTAAGTCTCTAGAACTCACCCCTCCGCGTCCACTGCCCAGCCCAACAGCATATCCCCTGCTGGTGTCGCTCATCAGTCCATCTCCAGCCCGCTCTTCGAAACCACACCTGCTTAAAAGCCTTAAATGGCTTCCCAGTACATCAGGATCAAGTCCAAATTCCTTGCCATGGCAGGCGGGAGCCTTTACCTTATTCATCTCTTGCCACTCCCTCTCCTCACTCTGGACTGACATCCAGTTCCTCAGATGTGCTGTGGTCTCTCTTCTCTGGCCTTCCCACCAGCTGTTCCCTCTGTTCTGGGCTAACTCCTCCCTGTGCTTCAGGTCTGACTTGGACGTCAATCACTCTTCTCCAGGAAGCCTTCCAGGATTCACAGAACTGAACTAGGTGCCCTTCCAATGTGCTCCCATAGTGCTCGTATCATGCCTAGCACGTGCCACACCACGTGCAATCCCGTTTGCTGAAGCTATGTGCCCATAGACTGTGCACCTTGACAGCAGGAACTGTTGTCTTGGGCATCAAGGAAGCCCCAGGATACGCAGTCCACGGTGTAGAGTAGGTACCCAAACGTATGCGTACTGGATGGAGGGCTGTTTCCAACACACCCTGCCCCAAGTCCTCTAAGAATGCACCTGTGGCTTTCAGTTTTCCCTAGGCCACAATGACGGTTATCTCCAAATTGGGTAAAAGATGTTTCACAACAGCCTAAAAGGACAAAATCAGTAAAAGTGATGTATCATTCAGCTCCATGTAGCCACAGGCTTATACTAAACAAACTTAACAAAATGTGCAATGGCTCCAAGTGGAGGTTCAGCCACTGACAGATAACTGAGTAGTAATGTGAGAGCATCTTTTCAGAGAAGGCACTTGGACCTTACAGTCAGCTCCAGGAAGTGCGGGGTGGAGGAGGGCCGGGCAGAGAGAGAAGGGCTGAGCCAGTGGTGGAAGGAACCAGACTGCCTAACTTTCAAATCGGTCTTTGGATAATTCCCCGGTGGGTTTGCAGTTGACTTTTAAAAAAGAGTTTTTTCTTTTGTTTGTTTGCGGTGGGGAGAATTAGAGAAAGAGGGCACAATTTTTCATATGCCTAAAACTGCCGAGTATCAAAATATTTCATTTTATTTCTGTATCATAAATTTGTCATTTTAACAACTTTGATCATTAGCTAATAGAGTAATACAAAAAAAACACGGGCAAAAATGATGTTAGTATTCATTCTCATAAAGTGCAGATTTAATTTTCAATTGTTGGCCTCAGTAAACATCATCTCATTTCAAATCCTCCCCTGCCCCCACCCAAGGAGGGGCTATTTTTAAAAATTTTTCCCTAACAAATGTCTAACACCGGGAATAAATGAACGATCCAATAAAGACAAGCTTTTTTGCAAACATTTTTCTGGGTAAGATTTCTAAGGACAACAGTACTGAGTGAAAAATAACCTTTCATAATGAATATGAACACATATAATAAGAACATAATTTAGACCCCCATGCTTATTTTGCAATTTTTAGGTCTCCAATTATGAAAAAGTTACCTAACTAAACAAAGAACGGTTATCTTCATACGTGGCCAAATTATTTTTACTGATGTTGTTTGAAGACATTCTCTGGTTTTGGCCTTTACAAGAAGTTAATTCTCACACTCTCTCACCAATTACATAAGGCTGCTGTTTCAGCCATAGAGACATTTATATTCCAAATGGGCTTTCTTCTTTTACTCTACTACATAAGGACTGGCATCTTTTTCAAAAGAATATTGCTAGCAACTGGGTTAATTAAAGAGTACTCATGGCTTAAGTTTGCCAAATGCTTACCTCTGCAACAGTATAAATATGGATTATTAAGTTGTCTACTCCAGTATAAAATCTATGCAGAACCCTCATACTATAGGCAAAATGTTCAAAGGCTAAGGAAAAAAAAATTCTTTTACAAGAAAGTGCAACTGCAGGGTCTTTTGAATGATCTTCTAGACGGTTCTGCAGAAAACTTAGTAGTTTGGCTCAAAGTAGAGTTCCTCATGAGGCATTAAAGTTCTTCCTAGAAGAATACAAAGCACAATTTCAGGCAGCTTTCTGAAAATAAACCATTAGTTTGTGGTTACACACTGAGACAAACTGGAACTTATAATAATGAAGGCTTTCGGATTTGCTGTGATTTGCAGGAGAACTTGACAGAGCTGTTCTGCTCTTACTCCAGGACATCAGGCTGTTTTATAATGTTATATATATAGGTGGTTACAGCACTTTGTAAACATTGAGAGTAGGCATGAAATTAATCAGATAGGAGGAAATCGGAAGTGTTTTCGTATGTGTTTCAGTGCTTTTTCAGGTCAAATTGCAATGCTTTCAAATAAATCATTAAAAATATAACATTTTCTTTGTTATTTCCAGTATTTTACACAGTTAATGGATAATCATGGTGCTAGGGCTTTAGATCAGTTATCAGTAGTGATACATTCTGTCCCACCATCAGATTTTCAGCATTTGTTCCGCGGCTGCTAGGTGGTAGAGGAAGTTTTCTGTTGCTGGTGGAAATCGTCTTTGCTTTAGTGCCTCGTAATTGAGCACTCGCTTTTCTCCATCATCCGAAACTTCTGAAAATGGAGCCAGGTTGGTGAAGATTTCTTTTGTTTTTAGGGAAATATCCTTTAATAGAACAGGAAGATACACAATATGTTAGTATCAAAAAAATCTGAGTTCTCCAGAATTCTTCCTGCTATTCTTTTTTAAGTTTATCAGACTAACTTTATAAATTATAAAAAATGAAACAACAAAAAATACATGTCATGGTTAATTTTGAGCAGCGGTGACGGTGGGATCGGTGGGGGCGGGGTTAACCATTTTTAAAGTGTGTGCAACTCAGTGGCGTTTCAAGTGCGTTCACAGTATTGTGCAACCATCGCCACTGTCCATCCCAGAACTTCTCCATCATCCCAAACCAAAACTCCGTACCCATTAAACAGCAACTCCCCACCGGCATCTCCCCAGCCCCTGGCGATGACCATTGTGCTTTCTGACTCTGTGAATTGGTCTATTCTAGGTACTTCATATGAATGGAATCACGATATTTGTCCTTTTTGACTGGCTTATTTCACTTAACATGTTTTCAAGGTTCATACACGTGGTAGCACGTGTCAGAACTTCATTCTAAGGCTGAGTAATATTCCACCACGTGTATGTACTACATTTTTTCCATTCATCCGCTGATGGACATCTGGGTTGTCTTCACCTTTTGGCCATTGTGAATAATGCTGCTGTGGGACACGGGTGCACAAATATCTATTTGAGTTCCTGCTTGCAGTTTTTGATATATACCCGGAAGTAGAATTACCAAATCTATGTTAATGCTATGTGTAACTTTTTGAGGAACTGCTATTGTTTTTAGAACAAATCTCTCCCCAAAGTCCCCTCCTGCCTGGGATGAGTGACCCAGCACCTGTCGCATGGGCTTTATTCCCCTTCACTGACTGACATTCCCCTCGGGTGGCTGAGGACTCAGCAGAGCTCGCCTTAAAGTCATGTCTTTCTCCTGGTTTGCTGACATCATTAACTTATTCAAATACTGTGAACCTGTACAACATGGTAGGCACTCTCATCATACATTATACTGAGTCATCTGTGTATCCCTTTTAGTCCATGAAAAACACAGTAATACAAAACTCAAATTTACACATTTCACTAACATTGTTTTCCCTCTAATGTTGACAGGGCAATGGGTGGGCAATGACCATCTGTCCGGTAAGACAGTCTCAGTGTTTGGGTTCTCGGGAAAAAACCTGCCCACTCCTCCCAGCCACAGCACCGAAGAGAAAGGACAGTGCTGCTGGCGGGTCCCCGCCAAACCCTATGGCCCCTCTCACCACCTGGCAATCACATCTTTCACTATAAACGCTTGGCTTTGGCACCAACGCCCTCTGTCCGTCTTTCCCTGGAGCCTGATAACTCATTGGCTCATCTTCGCCAGGGCCAATCCTGCAGACCTCATCTCAGCAGCTGCCCACTGGCCTCCCCAGTAACTTCACTCTGTGCCCGTGAACAGCAGATAACCAGCCGCTGCCCAGCGATGCCGTTTCGAGACTCAGTCAGTGGGAAGATTAAGGCATTACCTGTATAACTTGACTGTCTGATTTCTCTGGATCTTCTGCCGACTGGACAATTAACTGACCGATTTCTTTATGTAGTTTGCCCATTGTCATGGCCTCTGGTGAGATCAAGAAAAATATTTAGATGTTTACATAATGAAAAGTAATCATCTATCTGGAAACTTGAACGATCACACAGAGGGAATTTTCAAAAAGCAACTGACAACCCCCCATTTCCATCTTATTACTACACACAAATATGGTGACACAATAGGAGGTAAGGCATGATCATGATTTATATACTTCATGTCCAAAATAAAAATACACCACCACCAAACCAAAATTCTGATAAGAATTATTTTTCTTTCTAGACAAAACCTAATGAAATCTGACTGCCTATGGGTTGTGATTGTAAGCCAGCAAACAGCCTGACTTTCCTGTCCAGGTCTTCACAGTTGAGAATTCACGTTTATCTTTCCGGCAGCGATATTGTGAAAGCAGCACTTCCTGTCAGTTCTGCAGAAGCAGCTCAACATTCACTGTGTAAAGGCCCTTAGAAACGAGCTAAGGCAACAACCCAAGTTACATTAATTATATACACTGCTATTTTCTGCAGCCAGAAGGTTAACAAAAATTTCTGTTTGTTACTCGTGAGGGACAAACTCCACTGGGATGAGCCCGTTTTATAGACTCAGAGCAGCAGAGGGCAGCAGGGAGTTGCCAGGCTTTCCAGTCCTAACGCTTCAGCAGTTTCAGTGGCCCCGGCTACAGCTAGTTTTCTATCACTCCGGCTTTACAAAAGGCAATATCCCCTAAAGACCTGATACTATATTTTGAATTTTCCACCATGAATATTTATTATATTTGTAATTTCAAAGCGAAAACAAGTTCTGGTTCTACTAATTTGAGGTTGCTAGATAAAACCTCACATTATCAGAACGTTCCTAGCTAACAAAAATCCCTAATTGGCTGGCATTCAGCTGCTCCCACTTTTAGGAGAAAGATAAATGACACTACAAAAGCCGATATCTGTAATTCCTGTCTAAAACCAATACCTCATAGTGTCCTAGGCTCAAAACGTATTTAACCCAGTCTTTTCTACTCTGTGCAGCTGTAATTTAGGATAATTTACAGTGGCCAGAGATGACCCTATGACACTAGAACACCCTTTCTTGCTCATTAGCCCCAAGAATACTCTCATTCCCTGCTGCTTACTGAGACATCCTTCAAAAAGATTTTCCACACGGGAGTCATGTTCAACCCTCGTGTGGTGACAGATGTCTGCACACACTCTGATGCTCCTTCCTTTGTAAGGTGGAGTCTAATTCTTCTCCCTTAATGACTTGCTTTAACAAATAGAAGGTGGAGGAAGTGATCGTGTATGACTTCCTAGACTAGGTCACAGAAGGCACTGTGGTCCCCCCTCTCTTGAATTGCTCACTGTTGGGGAGACCAGCAGACGCGTGGTGAGGACACTCGAGCTGCCCTATGGAAAGGCCCATGTGGTGAGGCCTCCTGTCAACAGCCATGTGAGTCAGCTTGGAAATGGATTCTCTAGCCCCAGCTGAGCCTTCATTTGACTGCAGCCCTGGCAATATCTTGATTAAAACCTCATGAGAGACCCTGAATCAGAACCTCCTAGCTAAGTCACTCAAATTCCTGCCCACCAAAACTGTGAGATAAGTATTTGCTATTTTAAATCACTAAGTTTAGAAGTCATCTCTTATGCAGCAATAGATAACAAATACACCTTGTTTGAATATGAAACTGAAGAAACAAGACAAACAGACCATTTATCTTATTAACATATAACCGTACAGCATAAGCACTCAGATGTATCCCTAAAAGGGTCAGGTCTATTAACGTGAATGCTGTGTTCTAGAAACAGAAAAATCCCTCCAGCACAACAGGTGAAGCAGGCCTTCAAAAGGGAGAATCAGCCTAAAAAATACAACTGCTTGGCTTACATCTTGTGTCCACAGAACAGAACAGAGAACTAACCTTTTGCAAGCGGGGCAATGGTAATCTCACCATCTGCCAGATTCACAAACACATCATACAGGTCAGATCTATTGCTCACCTCCGAGTCTACAAATCCAGCGACGTAACCTGCATTACAGAGGGGACCAGCGTTACTAGAGTAGGAAGAAATCACATTGTGAACATACCAAGGAGTGAGTCTAAAAGCTCATCAGCTGCTTTTCTTCTCTGCTTTATTTATCCAGGGCATTTTAGCCATATCCCGCGGCATTTATTAAGATGACATTTTTGCCAATTGCCTGAAGAAACTCAAGCAACTCAAAATGTTCC